GATATCGCATTTAAAGTAATTGTGTCGACTTTATACGTCCGTTGTCATTGGACAAAATTGTAGGTAGAGGCCCCGCAGGCTCCATGATGAGTACAAGAGCATTTTTGATTTGTTTTATTGAAACGAAGATTGTAGGAAGAATATGATATTACGTAACCTTATGGTTAACTGCACTGAATGTACCAAATTATCATAACTAATGAACTAGAATTATCCAAGTTGAATTGCAGCGTATTTCCCTATCATAAGTGGAGTGTATTTTTCCTGTAAAGGTCAATGGAAAAATAAAAAGAAATGCAAATCCAGTTACAACTGAAGCAAACAGGTTGTCGAAGAAAATGAACAAACAAGAAAATAATATATTACGGTTTTATGTACATAGTTGAACATCTGCTTAATACATACTTATTTATTGTCGAAGGAAAACATGTTTACGTGGCAATTTCTTGTGAATTTTAGCTTATTAACATAACCACTGCACCATATAATATCAGATAGAAGCGAAGTCCTTTTTGTTTTTTTCTTTTCTTTTTTTTTGGAAAATTAAAAAATGCCAAGAAGATATCCATATGCCACACATAATTTATTGATACATGTGGGTATCTATGAATTTATAAATCTCTATTGGTTGACGCTTTTCCAATTATTAACAGCCATCTGCTCAACGGTACCTAAAATACTGACAGTGGCGTAGCAATGGAAAAGCTGCGGAATCCAGAGCTCAAGGAGCCCACAGACATCATGATCTCACTATTGTTGTGTCACCCGTGTAAACTCCGCAGTGTGTACGTGTCAAAAGGTTTCTACCTTCGGCAATCAAAAGGAAACACAGATTTGACCGAGACCGCTGGAAAGGGAGTCTCCGTTAGGATCTTTATGTCACTAGACTTGATCGTAACCGTTGGAAGGGGTTTCTCCGTTGGGACCTTTATGCCAGTAGATTTGACTGAAACCCTGGAAGGGGAGTCTCCATTAAGACCTTTATGCCACTTCTGATAACTGCAGTATTTCATAGTGTTTCACAATGCNTAGAAAGTTCTATTTAAAAAAATCAAAAAGCAAGCCAAGTAAAATCTGTTAACTATAGAAATATTCTATTTGGATTAAATTCTCCTTGGTAATATCAATATATAATGGTTAAAATTCTGTCGCTCCTCCACAACTAATTACATTTGTATGGTATTCTATAACATCACCCTTATCCGCCCCCCATTTTCTTTCTCATCCCAGATGTATCCACCCATCTAGAGATTCATCAAAAGATAAAACAATTTTACGTAGGATCACTCTTTCTATTCATTCAAAGTCTTTTATATTTTGACGAGAGAAGCACCTTCTACATGAAAAAGTAATTTAATTAAGTAATAATAATGAACACTGTATAGCACTAAGAAAAAAGTAATTAGTTACTTAAAGAGTTTTTCCAGTTAGACACTTTTCTGTTTTTCCATCACCATCAATCAAAACGTGCAGCATTTTCGTCAAGAAACCCTGTTAATTATCGAAAGTTTTCCGGAGCTTTGATGTTTGACGATTAACAAGTAAAAGACGTGAAATTACCCTTTTTTTTGGTAAATGTTCTTCATTTACTTTGTATTTATTTTTTTTTCAAAAGTTAGAGTTAAATTGTCGCGCAGAGAAATATACAGCCTTGCTATGAGTTTCTGAAAAATTATGATCATCCGGTTTTGGATTCAGCAATGATCAAAATACAGTAAAAGTTCCTTATTCACGGTTTCCTTATTCGCGGGTGAAAAAATTGCAACCCAGTTCCTGTATTCGCGGCTAAAAATTTCATTATTCGCGGGATTCGGTGTCATTTATTAAAGGGATTGACCGTAATAGACCGCTCGTGCCTAGTGTGAATTTTTCCGAAAACATGGGTTTCTATTCTAAACATTGTGATTTAATGCTGCGAGATAGATATGTGATTTTTTGCATGTTAACAGACAAAGGTTCACACTAACTCCGTGCGTTTTTGGTTTTCAATCATATGGCCATTAAAAGCTTTTACAAGTGCTTAAAGTTGATGCTTCTTGTAGGACACGTATTTTCAACAGAAATTAAAAAATTAATAAATGGCCTTCTACACACTTTAGAACAAAGCTTTGTCTGTCTTACTACAAAATTTCAAACCTCTGTTTCAAACAATAAACTCTTGATATCTAGAACCGATAATCTGAATCCCCTTAATGTATCGGCATCTTTTGAGTACGTACAGTTAGTACGTGCCGAAGCGGCTTTTATAAAAACTCTAACCGAGTAGAAAAAGACTCGGTGTTATTTTTCAAAGTATTAGCATCTTTCGGGTACTGTTGACTCGTGCCGAAGCGACTTTTATAAAAGATGTAACCGAGTGGACTAATTTCAAAATTCAATACAAGAAAAAATCACTAAATTTTTTACACTCTTACCTAAAGCTGATTATAACGATTAATTTTAATTGCGAATTTATCAATACATTGATTGTATTATGATACATATTGGTTTTATTTTGGAACCTTAGAACGTATCCCCATGATTCCATACTAATTACCATTCCATATCCACGGTTTCTGTATTCGCGGCATATTTATGGAACGTATACCCCGCGAATAAAGNTAGAAGTTTCACTTCAAAAATTGATATTTTTACATGTGTATTTTTGCAATCTAATTACTAAAATTTATTAATATACGAATTCATCCCATACCCGATGATGGTGTGGTGTGTATGTGAACAATCGCTGTTAATAGTGGTTAATACCTGTAATTTTTATCCACAACAAATACTTCCCTCAAATTAAATCCTTCGGTTGGATTCCCGGTAAGGGTGTGAAAGCAGCAACAGTTTTTTCTCATTAATTTGTAGTGCATAAAAATTAAATGAATTTTCTCCATTTAAAACTATATGAAGAATTGTTCTACTGATTTAACATTCAAGAAGCACCCTCTTTATTTTTTTTTGAGCCGCCCCTATATTCACTACAGAATCAACAAATAATACCTAGTCTAAAATATGACAAAATTAGCAAAGCATTTAGTGAGTGTATTTTATTATAATAGCAAAAAGGTCCAGAAAGAATGCATCTATTGATGAAACTCGTTACGTATGCGAATACAAAAGTCATTTATTGTTATAAGAACCACGGATTGTGATTGTAATAAGGGCAGCGAACCCACTTAAATTTCTACGAACTGATTTAAGATGTGAATGATGACGGGGTGTTTCGCGACACGGTAACTTTTAAAAGTGGTTATTAATAGTTTTTTTGCGATCTTTGGCTTACCGAAAGGCCGCTATTAACGTGAACAGAAGAATAGAGTCATTAAGAGTTCTAAACAGAGAAGAGGTGTTGTAAATTATCTGGCTAAACTTCTTCGTCAGGCCGCCACCATAATTACAAACCTTTTATATCTAGCAATCGAAATACTCACAATGCCTTCTCGTGGATCGCATAATTAGCTCTATTTTTTGTTTTCGCGTTTTAGACGAGCGTGATCATACAATACCATCAATCCAATCTACTTAATGTTCATTATAATCGCTTACTAAAACCGATCTTTAACATTTTGGCTGTTATTAATTCCTGTTATAGATGTTTCAACTTTTCTATTATTATTTTACTGATTCTTGACAAAAATACGAGACCGTGCAGCTTTAGGATTTAGATGATAACTGTAATTAAAAAGTCATTGCAGATTTTATGTTCATTTGGTATATTGGTGAGGATCAATTAAAGATTTTGACCGGTGATGCCAAATTCCCTCCCGCAGGTAGTTTTGGTTAAAATCTGGATAGTCGAATTCTCTCCCGGGTACTAACCGAGTTCCCTCCCGTTCATATCAACTCCGATAATTAAGTTAACGACTGCTTACCGATTTTATTTATCGAAAATAAATATACATTTATAGTGCACTTCAGTACTTCAGTAAATTAAAGATAAAATAATTTCAGGAAGAAAACACATATCAATTATGAAATGTTTATTTATTTAATTTTAAAATG